TGGGGGCCCAGCCAGGGGCTGACACTGCTCCTGGCTCAGGCTGGGATTGCTGGGACGGGCCAATGGGCAACCTGGCTTGGATGCCCAGCTCTTCCTCTCCCGCCTTTTGTGTCCTCGGGCTAGTCAGGGAGTTCAAAATATGCAAACTTGGGCCGGGTTAGGCAACTATATCACATGCTGATGTTTCAATGCGGGCCCCCTGGGGGCCCAGCCAGGGGCTGACACTGCTCCTGGCTCAGGCTGGGATTGCTGGGACGGGCCAATGGGCAACCTGGCTTGGATGCCCAGCTCTTCCTCTCCCGCCTTTTGTGTCCTCGGGCTAGTCAGGGAGTTCAAAATATGCAAACTTGGGCCGGGTTAGGCAACTATATCACATGCTGATGTTTCAATGCGGGCCCCCTTGCTTGGGGGTTTTACCAAATCCCTGGCAAGTTCCTGGGACTAGAGCGAGCTCTGAGACTCTGGGCCCTTTGGTGGCTGACTCTGAGCAGCCAGGTCTGAAAACGGGGTGTGCCGGACCCGGCCATGTCTGGGCACAGCTGAGGGCGTCCGCTCAGGGCAAATTGCTCAACTTCGGGGCTCCTTAGAGCCCCCAGACTGGTGACCTCTCCAAACAGGCCACAAACCAGTCCCACAAAGCGCTTCAGCTGCCTGCCTGAAGCCTCACAAGCAAAACCCCTCCGACACCCCTGCAATATCCGTGCCACAGATGGCCCCGGGCCTCATACACAGGTGAGGGGTCTAGAACCCAATCTCACCTTCCCCGCACAAGTTCTGTCCGGTTCCAAGAAATCAGCCACAGATCCCCGGTCAATTTACCCTCTGGACCTTACCCACAAATCACACTGAGCCAATCCTTTAGAATCTACCATCTAAAGGTTTATTGCTACAAGAAAGAAAAGCTTGAGAGTGAGGTTGCTAAAGTATCATACATTACATGCATCGACTCTCCCAGTTCTCGATGCAGGCTCTAGCAGAGATGTTACAGCTGCTGGCTTAAAAGTCTTTGTTGCACATCCTAGGTCAGGATGGGTCCACAGTTCTTCCCGGCCCTTCGATCCCTGCACTGCTGCCTCTGGGATGAAATGCTGAGCTGAGTACCAAGATGGAGTCTGCCACATGGCATCTTTATACATCCATCCTGGTCTCTTCTTGGCTGCAGCAGGTCACCTGGCCAGCGGCCTATCCCTGTGTTCCCTGCTGGCAACCCTAGGTGTCAGTCCTCATTCCCGAGGTGTGTCATAGACTCATAGACTTTAAGGTCAGAAGGGACCATTATGATCATCTAGTCTGACCCCCTGCACAGTGCAGGCCACAAAATCTCACCCACCCCTTCTAGAATAATCCTCTCACCTATATCTCAGATATTGAAGCCTTCAAATACTTTGAAGACCCCAAGATGCAGAGAATCCTCTAGCTGTGATCTGTACCCCATCTGTACCCCATCTGTCCTTGGCCCATTGAGTGCTATTGTCCCACAGGGCCTCGCTAATTAGCATGTCCATAGGCCGGGCTCTGCCCAATGTTCAACCACATGCAGAGAAATATCCAGTATCCATACAAAGTACAGGCTTCGAACTTCACACACAGACATTATACAATCACATGACTAGCGTACACAGGATCAGCAGACAGTAACTCCCATTCAACACCCCACATGGCCCCCTTCTATACCATTTTTGGGGCCAACACCCCCACCTATGGGTGCAGCAGTGATCCGGCTGTTTCCCTCAAACGTGACACCGGGGCCTGACTGTAGCTTGTCGTCAGTGTCCACTCCTGGGAGGCGAGCACACCACGCACCTGGCCTCCTGGGGGCCACGAGGCTGTCTCCAGTCACGTCTGGAAAGCGCTGCGTCTTCCAGCACAGAGGAACGATTCGATGTCGTTCGGGCCTGGAGTAACCTCCCAAGTGCCTGTTTAACCAAAAAGCTCTGGCCTTCAACGGGCTCCTCGCCTGCGACCGGGGGGAAGGGGCGCTTTGCATCCCGACTCCGGCACGCCAAGGCAAAGAGCAACCCGCCACATTTCAGGAAGTGCCATGTGGCACTCTCCATGGCGTCTGCACCATGGGCTTAGTGCTCAGCCGCAGGGATTCTGAGATCGCTGATGCCACGGGGCAGAGCCTGTTGGCTCCATGGGCTGGAATAATTAGCATAGCGGGGGGCTGGGAGCCATTGAATCACGCTGAAACCACTTCAACCCTGAGCACCCCTCGGACCAGCACCCATAACTGGTTCATTCATTTTCACCATGCGCTCTGGGGTACCAGCTAAATGAACTGGGGGATCATAGAATCATAGAACCATAAAGCTGGCAGAGACCTCAGGCGTCATCGAGTCCGCCCCCTGCCCAAGGCAGGACCAATCCAACTAAATCAACCCGGCCAGGGCTTGGTCAAGCCGAGACTTAAACACTTCTAGGGATGGAGACTCCACCACCTCCCTAGGGAACCCAGCCCACTGCTTCACCGCCCTCCCAGTGAAATGGTTTTTCCTAATGTCCAACCTAGACCTCCCCCACTGTAACTTGAGCCCATTGCTCCTTGTTCTGCCATCCATCACTACTGTGAACAGCCTTTCTTCATCCTCTTTGGAACCCCCTTCAGGGAGTTGAAGGCTGCTCTCAAATCCCCCCTCACTCTTCTCTTCTGCAGACTAAACAGACCCAGCCTCTCCTCATAGGTCATGTGCTCCAGCCCCCTCATCATTTTGGTCGCCCTCTGCTGGACCCTCTCCAACACGTCCACATCCTTTCTATAGTGGGGGGCTCAGGACTGGACAGAGCCGAATAAAGGAGAATAATGACATCTCTGGATCTGCTGGCAATGCTCCTCCTAATGCAACCTAATATGCCACTAGCCTTCTTGGCTACAAGGGCACCCTGTTGACTCATAGCCAGCTTCTCATCCACTGTAATCCCCAGGTCCTTTTCTGCAGAACTGCTGCTTAGCCAGTCGGTCCCCAGCCTGTAACAATGCTTGGGATTCTTCCATCCCAAGTGCAGGACTCTACACTTGTCCTTGCTGAACCTCATCAGATTTCTTTTGGCCCAATCCTCTAATCTGTCCAGGTCACTCTGGACCGGATCCCTGACTCCAGTGTATCTGCCTCTCCCCCTAGCTTAGTGTCATCCACAAACTTGCTGAGGGTGACATCCATCCCCTCATCCAGGTCATTAATAAAGATGTTGAACAAAACTGGCCCAGAACCGATCCTTGGAGCACTCGGCTAGAAACCAACCACCAACTGGACATCAAGCCATTGATCACTACATGTTGGGCCCAACAGTCTAGCCAGCTTTCTATCCACCTTACAGTCCATTTATCCAATCCATATTCCCTTAACTTGCTGGCAAGAATATTGTGGGAGACCATGTCAAAAGCTTTGCCAAAGTCAAGATATATCACATCCACTGACTTTCCCATATCCACAGAGCCAGTTACCTCATCATAGAAGCTAATCAGATTGGTCAGACACGACTTGCCCTTTGTGAATCCATGTTGACTGTTCCTGGCTAGTCCCCTTAGCAGGCAGGAAACACGGATGTATTGGAAGGGTGGCAGCACTGGGTCCTGACTGGTGCTGTTGGTTGTCCTTCTGGAGCTGCTCCCAAGCCCCACGGCACATGGAGGGTGATGCATGTTGTGGCTGGCCTGAGAGGCGGGTGACGCTGTTGTTACCGCATAGCGCCACGGCACGGAACTGGCTTCCCCATGCTGCCCAGGAACATGCTAAAGCGGGAGGCGTCTTAGGAACAGCAGAATCATTCTGGCCTCAGCCTGTTTGCCTGTTTCCGTCCACCAGCTTTCTCTGCACCCTTGTAGTCCCTCCGGCCTCCAGACACAAGCCCGCTCTCCTCACCTGCTCGTCTCCTCTCCCAGGCGGGCCCTTGTTGCTATTCCCAAGGGTGAGGACTGGTTTGAGGAGCTGTGAGTCCCCGTTGGCTGCCCCTTGCGTCACTCGCCCCGTGCTGCACGTAGGGGTGTGGAGGCCACCCTGTCAGCCCGGAGTGGCCATGTCAGGCACTGCCTCAGAGGAACGCCGGGGCCACGCCTGGGCCTGGACCGAGAGCAGTGCGAAGGGCGGGCCAGTTACGTTTCAAGCTGCGCACACTTGTCCCCTGCCTCTGCCACTTGCCATGTGGGTGGAGAAGGCCCTCGACCTGGCTAGGGAAGCGGACGGGAGCCTGCGGCCCTGGGCACGGTGCCCATGAGGCACAGCACGGTTCTGGGTGCACAAAGCGGCAGGCTGTCCTGCTGCAGCAGGCCTACGATGGGTATCTCGGGAGCCTGTGTTTTGTGTGCCCGTGTCCTTGCTGGCTGTGAATCTGTGGGGCTTGGGCCACAGAGCGCACATGCGATCACACGGAGAGTTTCCGCAGCCGGGGGCCTGTGTGCGCTGTGGCCTGGGGGCGCGGTATTCCACGCTCAAGTCCTTTAGCAGGCACTGGTGAAGGACAGGCAGAAATCTGCATCGTGCACTGTGGCACTTCCACGTGTCCTGCAAAGCCCCTCCTCGGTCTCCGTACGCCCGCCCCGCGGCCGCAAACCCTGCTGTGTTCCTTGTGAGCAGAGGGGTGGGAGTGGGATGCCGATGTGTGCTTTCGCTGCCCCCAGCGAGCCGGTGACTCTCACCACCCTGGGCTTGCTTACAGGCGTCCGGCACAAGCGGCACACGCGATGTTCCCTGGCAGACTTCAAGCGGCACAGGCGGTTGCTTGCTCAGCCCACGTCAGTGTTTCCCAGGTGGCTCTGTGAGTCTGCAGAGCGGCTTGCTGGCCTCTGGGGAGTGCCAAGGAAAGGAAGCTGGACTGGCTGCAGTAGCAAGGAGCCTTTCCTCCTTGTTTCTTGTTAGACCCGCTGATGGGAAGGCACCTGCAGTCACAGACTTTTAGACTGGAAGCTGTGACCCTCCCATGAGAACCGGTGGGAGTGGGGTAGGAGAAGAGCAGCGGTAACCAGTGGTGGCGTGCTTGTTCCTCATTGTATACCAGAGTGTGTTTTCCACGCACCCTCCTGGCCCTGAAGGAGTGTGGGGCCTGAGGGGCTGCTCCTTGGTACCAGGCACTGCCCGGCTAGTGTGTCAGGTGCCACAGGACTCCTCGCGGGTCTGCAGGCACTGCGCTGCTTTCTCTGCGAGCTCTAACCTTTTCCCCTTGCCTATGCCCAGGTTTGGATGCCAGTCCCCCGGCCAGTACTCATGAACTCACCATTCCCAATGATGTGAGTATGCAGCTTGGCCGCACTCTGAGCGGGGGTGGAGGGGAAAGTCACGCGGGAATGCGGGCGAGCCGTGTCCCAGCCGGACCTAGTGCACGGTGGGAGGCCGAGGAGGCCACGTGGGTCGCTCGGTCCACCGCTGCTGGCTTCAGCGCGAGGAACACGGCGACTCTGCGCAGGGAATTGGTGCTCCTGGAACGTGCCCGCCTGGCAGCGCTAGAGGGGAGGTTGCCCGATGTTCCATGAGCGGCTCAGCCTGAGCAGACTCCCTGCCTTGCCCCGAGCGCTGAGCGCCGCTGCCCCCACCCGGGCCGTGTCTGCGCAGCGCAGGGCCGTCTAAACCCTGGATTTAGTTAAGTAGATCTGGAGAGGGATTAGCTAGAATTCAATCTTGCCTGTGCCGAGAAGGGGAACCCCAGCCGGGGAGGGTCCGGTGGGTGGAGGAGGAGTTTGAGATCACGGGGGGCTTTCTCTTGGGGCAGGGACATACAAGGCGGCCGTTCCTGCAGGCGTCCTGGGGCGCAGGTACCCAGGGCTGCTGGGGTTACAGGCTTGTTACTCACCCGCTCAAACGCCCACGGGCGGAAAGCCGCTCAGGGCAGGCTCAGCCCCGGCGCAGGCATGAAGCTGTCCTGGTGGAAAACCCAGGATCCCGCGCAGGCAGCGTTGCCTGGCATAGCCAGCTCTGCGCTACCACCCCCTCCCAGGCAGCAAGTGGAGGGGCCTGAGGGGCATGGTGAAAGACACCGCGTGCCTGGCACTCTGCCCACCCTGAATGGTCCTGGAGGTTTCTGCAGGGCCACGGCAGAATGTCTAAATGCCATCTGGGCATTAGGGTCCCAGCTCCCGGGATCGGGGCCGGAACTCCTCGGACCCTGTCACACCATGGCAAGCTGCCGCTGGGAGCAGGAGAGAGGCAGCACAGATGGCACAGCTAGTCATCAGCCTGCTCTCATGCGTCCGCTCACCTCTGGGAAAGGGGCAAATAGCCACACGGCAACAGCTGCAGCTAACACAAAATAGCTCCCGCTAGTTCAGGCCGAGGCAGACTGCAAAGAGCCACACAGGCCCGCCAAAGACTGGTGATGGGCAATAAAATAGCAGGTGAAATTCCAGCAGACAAGCGCAAAGCCATGTTCCCTGGGAAGAGCCCTCCGGACTCTAGAGCCAACACGACGGGGCTACGCGAGCTGCTGCCACTCCAGAGACAGGTCTCGAGGGATCCCTGAGCGTTCCCTGGTAACATCTGCTCAGCCAAGAACCCCAAGCCCAGACCACCAGCCTGTGCGGTTCCACTGGGACAGGGGCGAATAAGACAAGTGAGGTCTGTCCCGTCCCTGGGCACTGTGCACAGCTCTGGTGCCCCCTCCCCAGAGAGGTGCAGTAGAAGTGGGAAGGTCCAGCAAAGAGCTGCACCAGTGCGGAGGGGTAAGGAAGAGCTGGCACGTAAGGGGAGAGGGAAAAGCCTGGGACATTTGTTGGAGAGAAGAGGGGCGGGGGCACGACTGCTGTCCCCAGACTTGTGCCTGGTGGCGAGGAGGCGGAGAGGGAGAGGGACAGACCCAGCTGCATTCACTAGCATGAGGCTGCACTTCCGCCAAGGCACAGCCGGCCGCAGGGCGGACAGCGCTTTGGGGACGGCACTGTTCTCGGCTACATTATAGCGCCCTCTTGCGGGGCTGGGCGGGCAGCGGTTTGGGGACCGCACTGTTCTCGGCTACATTATAGCGCCCTCTTGCGGGGCTGGGCGGGCAGCGGGTTGGGGACCGCACTGTTCTCGGCTACATTATAGCGCCCTCTTGCGGGGCTGGGCGGGCAGCGGGTTGGGGACCGCACTGTTCTCGGCTACATTATAGCACCCTCTTGCGGGGCTGGACAGGCAGCGGTTTGGCGCATCAGGGACTTGGAACCCACAGTCACTAGACACTAGCCTTGTCCCGCACCCGACTGTTGGCTTCGCACGCGGCCGTGTGCTGAGTAGCTACAGCGGCTCAAAGGGCCGTTTCCTTTCCCTCTGGCTGCCCAGAAGGGTGCTGGCTGACAGGGTCCAGGAGGCCTGTTCCAACGCTTTCAGACCCTCCATTTTAGCTTCTCTTCTCCAGAGGAAACGGGCTCCCGTGTCTTCCCAGCTCTTGAGGCAAAGAAGTCACTGCCAGGGTCACCCTGACCTACCAGGCCCCTGGTTCGCTGGCTCCGTGCCGGCTCCGGACACAGCGGCGGAGGCCTGGAGACCGACACAGTGTCCTTACCCCACGGGCCTCCCACCCTGCTGTGCTGTGCTGGGTTCTTTTGGCAATAGCCCCGCGGCATTCCCAAGCCTCCTCTCGCTCTTCTGGGTCCTGCTTCCCTCCCTGTGCCCATCTCCTGCCCCTGCCTGCTCTCAGTCTCCCTCTGGATGGCCTGTTGTGACGGCACATTGGGGTTTTCCCATCTCCTGCACCCCCGTAATGGCACAGACAGACTCCACCAGCCAGTAGAACAGAGGGAGTTTATTGCTTCTCCAGGATACAGCACAGCACAGATGTAATCCGGTTCCAGGGCAGGTCTAGGATGCCTCAGCCCCCCTTGAGATGGAGGAGACTGGGCCCCTAAATCCCAGCCCCTTTCCCTAAGCTGTCTCCTCCATGCTCCCAGACAGCAGCTAAAACTCACTTCCAGCCCTGCCCCCCAACCAGCTGTTGGTCTCCGCCTCCCTTCCTTTGTCTCTCCCTGGGAGGCTGAGCCTGGGTGTCTGGGTTAATCCACCTTTGGGAGAGTCAGTGAGAATCTCCCGTCCCAGCGCAGGGGGACCCCGGTCACAGAGCAGACAGCCCCCCCCACTACACCACAGCTGTACACGGGCAGTTTGGGACACGCTGCCCTGTGGGTGGCCTGGGATTCCTTCTGTGGACACTGGACCCCGGCAGTGGCCACCGAGGGCCTGTGCGTGGGGACCTGCCCTGCCCCCCATCCTAGAGGCAGGAGGAGGGCTGAGGAGCCGCAGGAAGCCTGGGGAAACAGGGACCTCCAGCCTCTAGTGCTGTCAACCAGCTACCGAGCACAAACTCCAACCCGAACGCCGCCCCGTTCTCTCAGGCTCTCCCTTGGGTGAGCTCAGGCGGCTCGGGCCTGCGTAAGCACAGAGCCCGGCTCCGCTTGCCACGGGCCTGACTCGCCGTGCAGGGGCAGGGGCCAGGCAGCGCCTGCAGCGGGGTAGCACGTCACGGGCTGCTGGGACAACAGGAAGCGCAGAAGAGCCGCGCAACAGATGAGTCGTGGGAGATCTGGCAGCCATTCCGTGACCCGGCCTTCTAGCCTCAGTAACTCTCCCGCACGCTGGCACGGGAGTAGCTGGCCTTTCGCTGCCACGGGCCACGCCTGGCAGGGCCATTGGGGGCACCGTGCTCTTTCCCCACATCTCAGTCCCTGCTGCAGGGGGCGGGTGTGAAATATCTGTTAACGGAATAGTCGAGTAAGCTCATGAATTCGTATCGGTTAGTCGACTAGTCTATAGTCCCTGGGGAGGGGCCAGCAGCCGCTGGATCAGAGGCAGCAGCGCCAGGCGGGAGTTGGTCCACAAGGGAAGCCAGTTTAAAAACCAGCTCCCCTTGCGGACCGGCTGCCTGTCGCCCTGCCCTGCTGCTTCTGAGACAGAGGCGGCAGCAGCCCCTGTCTAGGGGGGTCTGAGTTCCCAGACACGGTGTGAGCCGGAACTGAGCCGGGCTGCCGGCCAACCTGCTAGAAAATGTTCTGGCAGGGAGAGGGGAGGGGAGTGCGTGTAGTCTACAGCATTAACCTACACGCTTTCGCGGCTCGGTCGACGGGCTGCACTATCACATCCCTGCTGCAGAGAGCCAGGGGCCCGCGTTTGCCCCGGCCGTGGCAGGTCAGGGGGAAGTCACAGAGGGAGCTTTGGGCAGGAGGCGGCTGGTGTTACCTGTGGCTTACCCCCGTGCATCAGTCTCTGCCTTCATGAGCACTCAAAGCCCTCCCGCCCCTAGCAGCCCCCGCGAGTTACTGCCCAGGGCCTGCTTTACAAGATTCCCTCCACGCTGTTTTCTAGCTAATAGGCTGCATAATCGGACGCCAAGGGACCAAAATCAATGAAATCCGACAGATGTCTGGAGCGCAGATCAAAATCGCCAACGCCACGGAAGGGTCCTCGGAGCGTCAGATCACCATCACAGGGACCCCCGCTAACATCAGCCTGGCCCAGTACCTCATCAACGCCAGGTGAGAGGCGCTCACGCGGCCCCCTCAGCCTCGTGGCTCCCGGCCCCACACCGAAGGCACACGCCGCTCCGCCAGTCCTCCGCACGCGGGCCCAGGGGCGAGGGGCCTGGACACGGCACCGAGAGGGCCCGCTGGCTCCACGTTGCTGTCCATGCGGCGCGGGAGTGGGAATGTCAAACACTTCTCATAGGACCCCTCCCTAGGACGCCCCGTTCTCCCAGGCCCCGGCGTCCGCACGGCTCTTGCACTGGCTGGGTGGCCCCCCCAGCGCTGTCCCCTTGCGGCCTGGAGTTTATAACGGGGCCACGAGGCTGGTTTCCATTGACAGCCTGGCCAGGGCACGGGGAACCCCCACACAGCTCATGTAGCCTCTGTCCCAATGACCCGAACACAAAGACCCAGCGCAAGTTCCCAGGGCTTGGAAAGGCTCCCCGTTCCCAAACAGCCCCGCCCGGCATGCTACGAACCCGTCTCTTCGCTTCCTCTGGCGACAGCCCACGCTGCCTTGCCATGCACGGTGCCACGAGGCGGGCCGGGGCTGAGCCTAGGGCAACTGTCCCCAGTGCTGGTGCAAACCTGAGCGCGCAAGCGTGGCCTCCGGTGCACGAAGGGCTTGTGAGGCGGGTGCCAGTGGCTGGCTGGCTCTGTCCCGCACGGCAAGCTGGGAGGCCGGAGGGAGAAGGGATCAGGCTGCTTGACTGACTCCTCTTCCAGGACACTGGTGCGCGTGCAGGCCAGGGGCTGGCCGCACTGGCTAGACCAGGTGTGGTGCAAGCAGGGTCTGGGAGAGCCGCCTGGCCATGGTGTGGGTGGGGCTGGCTGACCTCAGTACTGACCTGTCCCACCACAGACCCTGCCCCAGCCCCTCCTTCCCACTCTGCGGTGCCCGCAGCCCCGCGCCCTGGAGCAGAGACTCACACGCTGCCGCCTCGCACGGAACGCACGGCCCTTCCCTGGTGCCACACAGCCCTCAGCAGCCACAGACCTTCCCG